CTGCTTGGGTTCAGACTTCGGGAGTGTGTGGCGTTCTGCTCAGGTGGTTCAGGTCCCAAAAGCCCCTAAACCCTAAACCCTAAACCCTAAACCCTAAACCCTAAACCCTAAGCCCTAAGCCCTAAACCAAACCCCGCACAGTACAGTAAAGCCTTGCAAGCCTGGCTCATCTGTCTGGTGCTTAGTAGGGAATGGGGGAATGGATCCCTAGGACAGTCCCTTAAGGTTCCTTATAGTAGTCCCTAAACCCTAAACCCTAAACCCTAAACCCTAAACCCTAAACTGTAGTCCCTATAACCCATTCCCCCATTCCCTACTAAGCACCAGACAGTCATGAGCACTTCGCAGCCGCAGGTTGGCGATGTCCCGGGCCTTCGGAAACTTTGGCGGCACAAAAATGCTGGTGACGACCCTAAATCCCAACTTACTAAAACCTAAAGCCCAGGCCTAAACCCTAAAATCCTAAATCTTAACCCTAAATTTCCTAAGTCCTAAACCTCATAATTACCTTAAGCCCCAAACCCTAAATGCTCAACCCTTTGCCACAAAAGTTCGGTGCTTACGCTTCGAAGCATAGCCAGCGAAGCTTAAATCCACGGACCCTGAGCGGGATTTTTTTGAAGACATTGATCTCAGGTATTGTTTGCTTGGTTCGGGTGTTGGGGGGTGTAGAGCTTGTTTGTTAAGGTGTTTTCGCTTCTGTTTGCCGTTGCTGGTTGGCTCCATGGTTACTTCGTTTTGAGTCTATGTACCCAATAAGCCCTTAACCTTAAACCTAACCCCTGCACACTCCTCCCCAACATTGGTCGAACTGCAGCTTGCCCACGACTTGATACGGCTGATGGTGAGGGTTCTGGGTTTGTGGATTAAAGCTGCGGTTTAGAGTTTCGGCTGGCATCACAGTTTCCCCAAGCCTATTCCACAAACCCGCGTAACCTGATTGCGTCTGCTCATGTCGCAGCTGATCTTCATTGTCAGCTTGATGATCGGTGCAAAGTCCAGCTGTATCATACTTATGATCGCTGCATGTTCGTCATGGTTCGTTGTTGCTCCTAATTGCGACTGCTGCTGCTGCTTTACTATTGCCATAGTAGCAATCATATTATGGGGGGTTTCCGAAAATAGGGGAACCCTAAACCCTAAACCCTAAACCCTGATATAGTACCCCAAATAATAGGATCCTTATGATAAGGACCCCAAAATAAGGTACCCCTAATTTTCGGAACCTCCCTTTTCCTGAACTCGTTATGACCCCCACCACCAGGGCCAACTCCGCCGCCACCGCCTAAACGGTTTAGGGTTTAGGGTTTAGGGTTTAGGGCCTCCACCACTAGTTCTAGTACTCATACTCAGGTCGACGTTCCGAAGAAAAAGTAAAGACCGTCCCCCTACATAGCCCAAAACGTGTTTCCTCCTAGCCTAATAGGGATCTATGGTAAATTTTATGGGTTCCTTATGCTAGTAACTTAATTGAAGTCCCTGAAACCTAAATAAACCCTAAACCCTAAAACCCTGAACCCTAAGCCTTAAATTTAATCCCTTAGCGGACAAGAACCCAGGAAAGTCCGAACTTTTGCAACCCTGAGCCCCGTACGTCTAACAGAACAGCCGGTCCTCCTGCCTGCATCTGGAGCAAAGGTAGGCTTGTGGGTTTGGGGTTTGGGGTTTAGGCTTTTGGGTTTAGGGTTTAGGGTTTAGGCTTTTGGGTTTAGGGTTCAGGGCGGAGTCGCCCCACGATGGACCGCCCTTTTCATCGAGTCGGAGCTGAGGAAACTTTCGCTTCAAAGACACCAGCTTGGAGCCAGGAGATGTTGTTGGAATTCAAGAGGGATGAAGGTTTCCGATGTGCCGTCGCAAAGGAAGGGCTTCAGTGGTTTACGAGAATCTGAGAAGAAGCAGTGGTGTTGCCAGTCATGTGGCAGTAGCAGCGGCAGCTGCCGCAGCAGCAAGCAGCGGAAATGGTGGTGTTGTTTAATTGCTGTTGTCGTTGTGGTCGTCCTGTCGTCAAGTGTCATAGTAATCACTTGACGTGAAAATGGTGCGCATAGTGTTTTTGAAGACGAGTTACCGAGTTGCCTCAGTACTAGCAATGGTTTCGTCGCTGCTTCCGCAGTTTCGTGTTTCGTGATTCTCCAGTCCTGCTTGAGTGCCTTACCTAAAGCGGCATGCTTTAGTCATTGAAGCAGCAGGCAGCAGTATCTATGTCAGTCCTGCAATAATTCTAGCAATGGCTGTTGGTGGAGATAGTAGTGGTGGACCTTTGTAGCACGCGAGACATATTGAGACAATAAACCCTACACCCTTCTTTTGGCGCTATGGTCCAACATTGGGAGGAGCGCGCAAAGTTTCCGCGACCCCTGACATTTGCGAATTTGATGCCGCACCTGGCGATGTCCTAGTGCTCCCCAGCTGAGCTTTGATACTTAAAATTAAAACCCTACACAGTACCATCGCCTAGGCTGGAGGGGAGGATTGACGGCTTTAAGAGCATGCTGCATACTATGTTTTTCATCTAACCCTTAACCCCACAAGCCCTAAACCCTAAACCCTATAAGCCCTCAAGCCCTAAAGCCCTAAAGCCCATACCCCAAAATCCTAACTTTCGAACCCCCTCTCCTCCCCTCCCATAGTTTAGGGCTTCCGATTATAAGCTGATGCAAGATAGCTGGTAATATTGTTCTCTTATAATCCCTATCATAATACAACATAGTTATAGCCAGTAGAATATGCCCCCGAACCCTCCACTGTACGAACTTCCCAAGTGTAGGACCAAGAGCTGGACCCAGGATTGGACGAAGTTGACTTTTAGGACTCAGTGGTTTGTTTTCCGAGTTTAGGATTTAGGGTTTAAGGGTTCAGGGTTGCGGGAGGTTGCAAGGTTTGTATTCACGGAGGTTTCTTTCTTTCTCACCAGGGGTCTGCACATGGGTCAAAGGTCTAAACCCCAGACCCTAAACTCTAAACCCTAAACCCCCAAACCCCTAAACCCCTAAACCCCTAAACCCTAAACCCTAAACCCTAAACCCTCTTGGGCCTCGGGTTGAGGCTCCCTTGCCCTCCAAGGCTTGCATCGGATGGCGTTCTGGACGTCGTGTCGAGCCCACAGGCGGTTTAGGGTTTAGAGTTTAGGGTTTAGGGTTTAGGGTTTAGGCTTCACGGTTTAGAGTTTAGGGTTTGGGGTTTAGGGTTTAGGGTTCAGGGTTTAGGGTTTGAACCCTAAGGGTCCAAGTGCTAAATTTTACTTAATAATCGTAGTTTAGGGCTTCCGGGT